TGTAAACAAAACTTTCAATTAAAACTTCATTAATGGCCAAGGGAGAATGTTATAAATTTTCTATTTGTGTGGGCTTTCAAAAATTAGTGATTTTGAATTAGTAAAATAGGTTGACTTGTGCTAGCCTAAAATATTAAGATATTTGTGAGAAGCTCAATTATTATGACCATTTGTGTGCGTATGTTTGTTTTTCCCCTTTTTGGCAATTAATCCTTAGGGAAGACTTGCGTGCTCGGCAACACCTCCTGCATTTTGAGATGTATACCGTTGTTAAACTGCCACCATAAAGGTTGACTTGGCGAATGGTTATGATAGAATCTCATATAAGATGGGATAATAATATGTAAAATATATATTTAGAAAATCATAAACTTAATAAATTAGTTTAATAGGTTTAAGGTGTTGTCTTGACTTATATGTATCTAAGATGAAAATGTGTGTAACACAATAAATGAACTCAGTGTTTCGATGATAAATAGCACAGGCAGTCATGTTGCCATTAAATATTGTCAGCAACTTCCATCAGTTTTTTTCTCACCATTTGATTCTTTTGATTAAATTCTTCTATTGCTAAATGCTCAACCATTCAATTTTGCGCTGGCTTTTCAAAGGTCGGATTTGTAGTATGCTATTTGCGGATGGCGAAGTCACGGTCCATATTGACCAAGCATATGAGATCAAAATTGCCTTGTAATTCCATATCCTCTATGTTTGGTTACTGAGTAGGTAGAGGAAAATTGAAGATAATTATCTGGCCCCATTTCATGGACCAAATGTCTAGATACATGCACGGTGATGCACCCACAATTCCGTTTTAGGTGAAGAAGCCGAAAATGCATACAAGTCAAGGAATCCATTCCACACGGTATCTTTCTATTGCAAGTCATTGCCAAAAACCAAAGCCGGAAATGAGGAGTTGTTGACTTTGTTAAGTCTTCGTTTTTTACTTTTGACTTGTCTTTTTCTTTCTTTTTTCTAATATTAATTCCTCTTTGACCTGTCTTTTTTTTTTTTTTTCTATTTTCTAATATTAATTCCTACACTAATCAACATTAAAGATTGGTGTTCGTCTAAAGTTTCCATTGCCACCATAAAGGTTTTATTTTTTTATTTGTGAAAACTTGCAAAGAAATGGACATTCGGTTTTTAAAGCTTACCATCATCACCCTCTTACTGTTTTTCTCCTCTAGATTCTCATGTGGAACTGATATCATCACCTCATCCACCAATCTTAGTGAAGGTAGAACCTTAGTTTCTAATGATGGAAGCTTTGAACTGGGGTTCTTCAGTTCTGGAAGTACAGCCAAGGGCCGTTACTTGGGAATTTGGTTCAAGAATATCCCAGTTCAAACTGTTGTTTGGGTTGCAAACAGGTGCAAGCCAATTAATGACACATCTGGTGTTTTGATGATAAACAGAACAGGTAATCTGGTACTCCTCAATCAAAGCGGGAGTGTTGTTTGGGCATCAAACTCAAAGAAAGAAGCTCAAAACCCAGTACTGCAGCTCCTGGATTCTGGAAATCTTGTTCTACAGGACAGAAATGCTGGTATTTTGTGGCAAAGCTTTGACCATCCAACAGATACTTTGCTGGCAGGTATGAAACTTGGATGGGACTTAAGGACTGGTCTTAATCGCCAAGTATCAGCTTGGAAGACCCCAGATGATCCATGCCCTGGAGACTTAACTATGGGGATAGAGCCAAATAATAATCCCGATTTTGTTATTTGGAAAGGATCGAGAAAATATTTTCGGGCAGGCCCCTGGAATGGCATTGGAATGAGTGGTGCACCCCCATTGAAGCCAAATCCGTGGTTTACGTTCAACATCATCTCAAATGAAGAGGAGATTTACTACATATTCTTCCCCAAAACCAAATCAACAATCACAAGGCTTGTTTTGAACCAAACTTCAGGTAGGGGAGAACGCTATTTGTGGAATGAAAACACTAAGACTTGGACAGGGTACAGTTATTTTCCATGGGATGACTGTGACATCTATGGTACTTGTGGGGAATATGGGACCTGTGTCAATAGTGCACTACCGCCTTGTAAATGTTTAAAAGGTTTCAAGCTGAAATCACTGGAAGAACGCTCGGTAGATTGGTTTCAGGGATGTTTGCGCAATAAACCTTTAGATTGCCAGAAAGGTGATGGATTTATTAGATTTGGTGGGCTGAAACTGCCCGATACTGCACATTCTTGGGTTAATAAAAGTATGAACCTCAAGGAGTGCAGGGCCAAATGCTTAGAGAATTGTTCTTGTATGGCCTATACAACCTTGGATATTAAAGAAGCCAGCGGTTGTGCAATTTGGTTTGATAATCTAATTGATCTTAAAGAGATCCAATCTGGTGGACAGGATTTATACATTCGAATGGCTGCTTCTGACTCAGGTATTCGGTTAGATATTTCAGTGTTTCTTGAAGTTTTGTTATGATTCCTATATATGTCAGGTGTTTCCAATTCTGTTTTCAGTTAATTTCTGAAACTATTTCATTGCTATGGTACTAATTCATATATTTCTTCTTTGCTTTATTGAATTAGACCACGAAGAGACAAAAGGCAAGACTAAAATGTTGACAGGACTAATAATTGCAACTGCCATTCTTGTAGTTACTGGTGTTCTTGTAATCACCTACTACATTCGAAGGAGCCATCGAAACAGAGAAGGTATATATGATTTTTAATTTTACTTGACAAATCATATTCCATTAAAATTGAAAGAAATTTCTGTTGGTTCTTTTCTCACCATTTGATTTTGGTAAATTCTTCACCCTTTCAGGAAGAGAAAATGGCAGCGGTGATGAAAGGCAAATTGAAGATATGGAACTCCCATCATTTGAGTTAGATTTAATATCAAATGTCACCAATAACTTCTCTCCAAACAACAAGCTAGGAAAAGGTGGCTTCGGGGCTGTATACAAGGTAAATTATAAGTGCTCTAGGAAAAATGACTATTAGCATGAGAAGCCTTTGTCCAAAAGTAATAGTCAACTTTAAAAGTACACTTTTGCAGGGTATTCTACCAGATGGAAAAGAAATTGCTGTGAAGAGGCTCTCAAGAAGCTCTAGACAAGGAATAGCGGAGTTTAAGAATGAAGTAGCACTTATAGCCAAACTTCAACATCGAAATCTTGTAAAGCTTCTAGGATGCTGCATTCAGGGGGAGGAGAAACTGCTGATTTACGAATACATGCCCAATAAAAGTTTGGACTTCTTCATTTTTGGTTCGGATTCTTGTTAAACCATTCAATTAACTTTGTAGAAGTATATAAATTCATCGCAATACTTTTCCTTATTCAGTGCAACTCTTTTCCAAGAACTCTAGTTGAACGCTGCATTAATTAATAGGATGAACATGTTATGTGACAGACCATACAAGAAGGAATCTATTAGACTGGCCAAGGCGTTTTCACATTATTTGTGGAATTGCTAGAGGGCTTGTCTATCTACATCAAGATTCTCGATTGCGAATCATCCATAGAGATCTCAAAGCAAGTAATGTTTTGCTTGATAGTGAAATGAATCCCAAAATTTCTGACTTTGGCATGGCTAAAACATTTGGAGGAGAACAATCTGAGGGGAACACAAAGAGAGTAGTTGGAACCTAGTAAGCCCTCTCTATACTACCTAATTTACTACAATGTCTACAATGATAAATAATTTGTCTTAATTGTTTTCTGTAGTGGTTATATGGCACCAGAATATGCCATTAATGGGCAATTCTCAATAAAATCTGATGTCTTCAGCTTCGGTGTATTGTTGTTGGAGATAATAAGTGGGAAGAAGAATAAAGGGTTTTACCA